TATATTATTATTAATTATTATTATTATTAATTATTATTATATTAAATTATATTATTATTCTTTTATTATTAATATTATTCTTTCATTTTTAATATTATTCTATTATTATTATTATTATTATTATTAATTATCTATTACTGTTATTATTTTGTCATTATTATTATTAGTCTATTATTATTATTATTATAATTATTACTATTTTTTATTATTCTATTGCTATTATAATCTTATTATATGTATTATAATTATAATTATTATATTTATTAGTTATTATTAATTAGTTATTATAATTATATAATATAATTATTATAATCTATTATTATTATTCTATCGTTATTATTATTCTATTATTATTATTATTCAATTACTATTATTATTCTATTATTTTTATTATTCTATTATTACTATTTTATAGTTATTATTATTATTCTATTATTATTATTATTCTATTGTTATTATTATTATTTTATTGTTTTTATTATTCTTTCACTATTATTATTATTCAATTATTATGATAATTCTTTTATTATTATTCTATTATTATTATTACTATTATTTTTAATATAATATACTATTATTATTAATCTATTATTGTTATTATCTTATCATTATTATTATTATTCAATTATTATTATTCCATTATTATTATCACAATTTTTTTATTATTCTATTGTTATTATAATCTTATTAAATATATTATAGTTATAATTTTTTTATTTATTAGTTATTATTAATTAGTTATTATAATTATATAATATAATTATTGTAATATATTATTAATATTATTTTTCTATTGTTATTATTATTCTGTTATTATTATTATTGTATTGTTATTATTATTTTATTTTTATTATTATTTCATTATTATTATAATTACTATTTTATTATTCTTCTACTATTATTACTAATATTCTCTTTTTATTATTATTATTCTATTATTATTATTATTATTCTATTATTATTATTATTATTCTTAATGTTCTTTTATTATTATTATTATTCCCTTATTATTTTTAATATATTGTTGTTATTATTTTATTATTATTATTATTTTTATTTTATTATTATTATATTATTAATTATATATTATTAATTATTATTATTATTAATTATTATTGTTATTAATTATTATTATTAATTATTATTATTATTATTATTATTATTATTATTAGTTATTATTATTATATGTTATTATTATTAATTATTATTAATAATATTTGTTATTATTATTATTCGTTATTTTTATTCGTTGTTATTATTATTTGTTATTATTATTCGTTATTATTATTATTCGTTATTATTATTATTTGTTATTATTTCTTATTATTATTTTTAATTATTAATTATTATTATTATTTTTAATTATTATTATTGTTAATTATTATTATTGTTAATTATTATTATAATTATTAATTATTGTTATTATTGCTAATTATTATTATTATTGTTAATTATTATTATAATTGTTAATTATTATTACTATTGTTAATTATTATTGTTATTATTGATTATTATTATTTTTTATTATTATTATTATTATTAATTATTATTATTAATTATTATTTTTATTATTATTAATTATTATTATTATTATTAATTATTGATATTATTATATCTTATTTTTTATTCATTTATTACCTTTCATTTCAGTTTAAGTGTGCTAAAATATGAAAAGGTTTTAGAATTAACTACATTATTTTGTTACTAGCTAATTCGAGTGATAATAAGAACAATTTTAAACATTTTCATCCTTCATGCCATTTTAGATGATACTTCAAATAAAGTTGAACCTGTGCAGCCAACAAATCGCTTATCATCTAGCTCAAGTTCAAGTGATTCTTCTTCCTCCAGTTCAAGTGACAGCAGCTCTAGTGATTCGAGTGATAGTGAAGCAGGTTAGGCCGCGATTAATTTATAATTTGTATTTTAAATAACTCAGATATTAACTTCTACCATCCAGAATAATTGAAAGAAATTATATTTTATCAACTTGAAATAACATAAAATATCTTTCTATGATTATTATTGAATTATCACCAAACAAATTTAATTGTATTACAAATATTTGTAATAACAATATTTAATTTTTTAACTTTAATTGCTAATCCCCATTTTGCAAAACTTGGTTTCGTATCCTATTTATTTTATTTATCGTTTATTTTTTAGTTGAAACGTAAGCATTTATTGAAGCACAATTTATGTATAAAACAATAAATAATCTTCCATTATTTAAATACAATTTGAGCTTTATATTTAGATTATTTTTTTAGGGTTTGTAATTGTTAACATTTATGACATTGGCTTATTTTTTTAATTTGCAACTTTTTAAGAATAATTGCTCTTAATTAGTAGTTTATTAATTGAAATATATTTGAACATATTATTCAATTCACATTTTATTACAAAATTCTCAAAAGATTATTTTATTTAAATAATATTGATTTTGTCACGACTCAAAAAATACATATGCATTACAATGAATCTATTATCATATTTGCACAAAATTTAACTGCCATAAGTAATAATAACACACGGAATACACATACTTTATATTATATGTTGTGTAATGGTTTAGCATATTTTCTCTCATATTTTTATATCCATAATCGTTAACCACCCCCGCCAGTATTTTTAAAATTTGTTTTTTATAGCCCAGAATTAAAGAGATTAGACATAAGTAGGTTTAACATATTAAATTGAAATAGTGTTTTTGCTCAATATTAGTTTATTAAAAGTTTAAAACGTATACGTAATAATATTAATTTATGAACTACTCAAATAAAAGAATAATATTTTCTTTTATTTTCATAAATATTTTTATATTTTCGTGCATATGTATAGATTTGAAAACTATGTTCTTAGTTAAGTGACATAATTTTTATCATATTTTTTATCATATTCAGTTCTAATTCAAGAAAATTTAGCAACTTAATCTGGAGATATTGCTAAATAACGAAAGTGTATTCAGATTAAGTACGCCATTTTATAGACAGTTTGTAGCACTCAATGCTATATCTTACATAACAGTTTATTGTTTATATAAAAATGTTGTTGCATTTTTCTACTAATATTAAAACTGAATGGAGATGTAGCATTTAAAATTAATTTTCATAAATTTATCATTTGATAAAGAAGTTCGATGATTGGAAGTACAATGTTGTAAAACAGCGTTGAATGTGGATAAATTTACAAAATAAAATATAATACTTCTTTGTTAAACAAAAAGTATCGTTGTTGAGTCTTGTAAGTTTAATCAAAGAAACACAGTGTAGTATTTATTTAATAACTTAATTTTTATTTACAAATAGCATTTTAATATCATTTCCGTTGAACCTTATTAAGTTTTTTTTTTGATTTTACTATTATTAAGACTTCACATCTATAATAAAAGTTTAGGTATTTAACAAAAGCAAAAAATATTCGTATAACTACATAAAAAATTGTTTTGTATTTTGGTAATGAAAAATATTTTTAACAACATTTTTCTTTAAAAATAAGTATAATTGAGTGAAAAAAAAATCGTGTAGCAATTGTGTACAGGGGGCAGCCACAATGAGAAACAATAATTTGTTTTATTTTGCAATTGTAATAAAAATTCTTTAAGCAATAAATTCAATTAATATATAATTAAATAAAAAAAAACGTCCACGTCCTCTTAAAAAAATCAACTCAAAAAATGACCACGTATATAATTAATAATACGAAAAATTGTGCATCTCCAGATAAAGAGTACAAATGTTGAATTAAACAATGAGCAATATTCTAATTCTTCAATTTAATTTACTTTATATTATTATATCTGTTATTCTAAATAAAATTTAGTTCAAAAATGATAAATCAGTACGACGGAATATTTGAATTTGAAATAATAATGATAAAAATAGTTTTCATACAGAAATGCCGAAAGCGCGACTGAAAGTGAATTTATATAAGAAATATAAAGAAAATTGTTTTTTTTTTATAAATGCTTCACATATTGTTTTATTAATATCTGTAAAAGAATTACTTTTGATTACATGCAAAAGGCATTAAGAGTATTTCAAAAGAGCTGTAGAAAATGTGAAATAAATTTTGTGATGTTTGCACTAATAATAAGATGTTTGGTTATGCATTTTGACAAATTTATTAAATTTAATTGCTTTTTTATATCTTTTAGTTATAATCATAGTTTATGCAGTTTACAAAAAATATAGACTTTAATCAATAATAACTTATTTACATCGCTTTAAATAAATTTATCTGTATTTTAGCAATGTGTTAGAATTTTTTACATGTATTATGTTTATTTGTTTATATTAACAATGTACTTTAAATAAGTTATAGACTATACACATATTTTCAACTATGTAATGTTTGATTGAGTATATGTACACTTGCAGACAATGTGTAAAAATTCATAACCCAAATCAATTTCATTATTTATAATATCAGTTCTCTTTATAAGATAGTTTACGTACGTCTATTAATTTTAGTATTTGTATTATTCCCATACTTTGTAAGTAAGACAGCTCATTTCTCTGTTGTAGGAATTCTTTTACTTACTATCACAGCCAAAAATATTCTTAAATAACGAGAGTTATTTTTCTGAATTTACAAATGGATTAGCAGCTAATGGACCAATTTCGAAAACTATTTGTTGTTAAATTTATTATTAAAATTATACAAATTTCTAACGATATCCAATTTAGTGCTGCATATTTTATAAATGTTTTAATGCATTGATCTGTTAATTACTATTTCTATATGTCATTATTAACTTCAAAGTGTATATTGCCATTTCTGTAATTATAATTATACTGATTTTTTGAGTTTTCTATTTGTGTATTTTAATGCGGATTGTTAATAATTAAATATTTTAATCTCTCAACTATTTAAATAACTATTTTTTTAGACCAGTTACATAATGTCGATATGTGTGCTTTTTTTTAATATAAACTATATATTAGTCATTATTGATACAAAGAAGAAATAAATTTTATTTTATTTCACTCAACGTTTCTGTCTTTTTTTTCAGCTTTAGGAACTATAATTAGTTTATTAATTTTATGTATGTACAATTAACAAATAGAAATTTGTTAAGTTATTAACATTTTTCGTATAAGATAAAATTTTTCCAAACGTACAAATATTAAAAAAGCAAACTATTTGGACAATTCTTAAGTTCATGTACTTGCGTACACAAATTGCATGTTATAGCGTTTTTTTGAGTAATGTTTGGTTATGTCTGCAACATGTGTACTTGGTGCGTATATGTAGGTACTTTACTCAACATTACATCCCAGTTGCACAAACTTGTTATTGAAACAAGTAGCTCAAGTGTATCATTTTAGAAAACGATTACGACCGAGCCTAAAAGTCCTAACATAATGAAATTTTACGAAGTATATTAAAATACAAAAAGGTCAGTCCTTTGAATTTGATTTTTTGTTGCATTTAGTGTACGATTTAATGATTAAATAGTTTTAAATTGAAAATAAACTCTTCATCAAATAACCTGTTTTGCCAATCTTAAATTGGGGCACAATATAGATATTTTTGTGTCGATGAATTTTATGGCTGTTTATTAATTTAATATTAATTTTTCCCACCATGATTTGGTATAACATTTCGTCAATATAAAAATTCGAAAATTAATTTATAACATTAATATATAAAGTTTTTGAATACTGAAAAGACAATCATCAAATGATGTTTCTAAAGCTGGCGCTTATGTTTATAGGTTTTTTCTCAATTAAATTTACATTGTGATATAATATTTTTTAATTATTTGGATATGTACCTTAATTAATATATTAGTGAATATAATATATAATGTAATTTTAATATTTTTTATAATAATTATTTACACTGTTCCATAACTCCAGAGCATAAAATTTTAATTTAAATGTTATTTCTTGTCTGATTTTCACATAATTAAAGTACACATAATTTTCTATAAAATTATTATTACTCAGTAAAAGTATGTTAATTAAAATTCAATAAATAATATGTAATATGAGTTTATATGAGAGTGACGTTAGATAAAATATAATTACGAATTTCAATTTTGTTATATAATTTTATATTACAATAATTTCGGCTGTCAGATTTTCCCTTTACACATTGTTTGCACGTGTTTTTTTTGCAATAATTTATAATAAAAGAAATGATATATATACATATATTATGTAAATTATTTGTTAATAGAAATTAAATAAAGTGATGTAATTGAAACTTAATTTATTAAATCTACTTTAAGTGCTGTTACTTGTAAAATACCTAAATACAGTTTACAGCAAAAGACTTATTAAGCACATTCTATATAATCAGAATTTTTTTAAAAAAATTCACAGAAACAAGAGCATGTAGGACTCTTAAATATTAAATATTGTCTTACTAAGTATATATGCAGGTAATGCTATCAAAACAAATTCGTAAATTTTTATGTTAGTATTAGTTAAATAATATTTTTGGTTAATTGAAATCTGCAGCTTGATTATCAAAGAAAATTTTTGCAATAAGAATTAGCTTAAACTTTTAAATTTAAATTATGAACTTTGATTTCAACCGATCTATTTGAGCTTCTTACACATTAAGTAGTATTGTTATGTACAAAGAAATTAGTGAAGAACAACCTGTTAGATGCAAAATTTATATAGATGCAATTCGAATGTTCCAAAAAAAAATGTTCAACCTTTGAAATTAACTGCATTAAAATGAATTTACGCTATAAAACTCACTAATTACAATATAGTTATTAGACTATGAATCTTTGGTTTTATAATTCCGAATAAATTTCTCCGACATTTCTGATTACAAAATTTTAACACAAATCTACGCAAAACTTAAGAGGATGTATAACCATAACCATTAATTCTATTATATTTCACCAACGAAGTATTTAGTATATCAAATTTATTAGAAGACAAAGAAAGTAATCTTGTATTTGTTTCAATAGTTGAAATTACATAAGTCGTATATAAGATATAATATTAAGAAAATTACTAAAATGGTATCAATAAGTTTTGTTATTATATGTGGAAATAAAATGTGACAAAAAATGTTATTTTCGTTTTTGTAAAATATTTTTTTTTTATTAAATTTTAATAAGTTGTTATTATAGGCGTACAAATTGTAAAATAAACAGACAACATATAATTAAATTCTTAAACCAATTGAAAATGCGTGCGTCAGTTAATTTTTTTCAATTATATTGTAAAAATTTTTGTTTGATAAAAATCAATACTATAAGAAAGTCATGTATTTCACTAATATATAATTAATAAAATGAGAAATTTTGAAAAATATGCATAATATTTTTAAAATTCAACATAAGTAAATATAAGTAAAATATTTAATTTTACGAACTTTGAAAAGAACCGAATAAAATTTAAATAATTACAATAAATATTGAAGATGACAACCGAAAAAATAAATAAAAATTAATGTCTTATTATTTTAAAGTGAATAGTAATTCCAATTTTCAAGGACCTACTTACCTACTGTTGGCTGCCTCTGTTGAAAGTTTTGTTGTTATTAATTAACGCATTGTACAAGGTACATGGGTATACACATAATACCAGTATATGTTTATAAATTAGTACATGTGTTTAAAATAAATTAAATATTAAAAAAACACAATTGCTCGTGTTTAAAATTGATATATGAATCAAATTTTCACTCAAACTGCAGGTACTTATATGTTTAAATAATTAAAAATTGTGGTGTTTTGCAAAATTAATTACTAACATTTATACTATGATATTTACATAGGGGATGCAGATGGAAGACCACCTAGAAAAAAGAAGTCGCGTGATGCAAATGAAAATAATGTAAGTATCGATTAGACAATTTTAAAAGTTTAAAGAAGTTACATGATACATGTATTATTATCTAATAATGAATACCTTTTTTAAAATATTACTTTGTTTGCTATTATTAACAAATTCTTTCTTAATTTACATCTTTTTGAGTTTCTTTATTTGGTGCAACTTTTTATTGATTCCATTTATCGATTATATATAAATGTATTTGTTTAGATTAGATAAATTAAATTAAAAATTTAATGTGTGATATTAATAAATATGAGTTCTTGATATAATTTATGATTTACATATAAATAATTATAAGTTGTTTTCAATTAATTTTGAAAAGTTGTTTTGATATTTTAGAATATTTAAATTATTTCACAGTGAGAAAAATGCAGCTGTTTTAAGTTTCTTGTTTCCATTATTACAAAAAAAACTAATGTTAGTAGTCAGTTAAAACTCGATTACATACTTATAAGTATATTTAAATTTATTCATATTTTACGTGATTAATAACTTAGTTTTTGACACGAGTATTTTGCACTATGAAATAATATACATATAATATTCAGAGTTGAACTGTATACGTAGCTTTGTATAAATATTTTAAAGTATTATAAATAATATGTAATATTACAAGCATTATAATTTTTAGTCGTTATTTATTTACTATCAAAAATCTTTTAGGGTTGGCTTATAACAAAATATAGTTAAATTTTTTAAATAGTACAATTCTAACTGCTTTTACTTTTCTTTTTAATGTTATTGATAAATTTCATTAACATATTTAAATTCAAGAAAAACATATGTTATTATTTCTAAAACATGTTTTAGATAAATATTACAAATCTATCACAAACTACTGGGTTAACTATGCCAGTTGGTATACCCGTTCCAGTTTCAAATGTAATACCACCAACAATTGCTTCTCAACACTTACAGACAACGGCATCAGCCATAAGTAATACTGCTGCATCAATTACTGTTCCAACACCTACATCACATACCGGATTATCAGCAAGTAAATATCGCGATTATTTGTAAAACTTAAATGTTTTTTAAGTAACTTATTTTTTTTTAAATTAAACTAAATGGCTTTAAATTCATATAGTAAGTTTGTCAACATCCGGATTAGTACCAATAACTTTCAACAATCCACTCCCTTCTGCAACAACAATTGCGTTGAATATTAATAATAAACTGCCAATTACAACAGTGACCCCATTTACTGGTCTACCACAAGCGACAGCATTAAGCGCAAGTACGGTAAGCAGTAATGGATCAAATAACTTGACAATGCCATCAGTCGCTATAACTGCAATTCCAACATTAGCTGTTTCACTAACAACGGTTGCTTCGACTGGTGCAACCATAACATCACACACAAGTAATAATACTAACAACGTTAATAGCAATAGTAATATGAATAATATAGTGAATAGTATAAACAGCACTAATAGCACAACTACGACTAATGTTGGAGGTATACGTATTGCTAGTAATTTGCATAAAATTCCGACTCATGATGTACCTGATCCATCTGTCAGTGTGTTGACATCTACTACCTCGATATCATCAACATCATCAGCAGTGTCGACGCCTTCTTCTCTAACAGCCGGTCTGAAACAAATTCCCCAATTTGATGACCCCATTGAACAATCTTTAGCTTCGCTAGAGCAACCAATGCTTACCGCTGCAGCTAAAAGTGTAGCTGATAATTTTATAATGGCTGCAGCTGGTATGAATGCAGCACATCTCATGCAACAACAACACAGTCATTCACAGCAATCTACCCAACAACAATTTTCATCGCAACCACAACAAAATCACCATTTAGGTTCTAGTAGTAATCAGCAACAACATCATATGGAGCTAATGTCAGAATTTTTGTCTAAAGGTGCTGCAGTCGCAGCCGAAAATGTTGCTGGAATGAATGGTAACCATTTCCCATTAATGCAACTTGGGCTTGGGCTAGATCATCTTGCAGCGGTGCAACAATTTCAACAAGCTGCTGCAGCAGTCCAACAACAGCAACAACATGTACATAACAATGGGTATAATGTTCCGGACTTAGGAGGTAATACCACTTTGGATGGTCTCGGTTTAAGTTTAGGATTGCAACATGGTGGTGGGGGAAATTCATCTTTTTTTGATCAACTTCCCCAAATCACTGGAAACAGAAATGAAAATCTCATAGCTGCAGCAACTGCAATGATGATGGGAGGTGCGTCAGCAGGAATAACGGGCAATGTACCGGTTAATAAAAAAGACACAGTAGTTTCTGGAAGTGAACATCAAACAACAACTCAACCAAATAAATGTCTTATTACTCCGAAACCGATAGAATCAATGATGCCCAGTCCGCCAGAAAAAAAGCATCACTTGTCACAACAATCACCTTCAGATATGAAAACATCAACAAATGTTGTCGGCGCAAATAGTCAAGCTAATTTTGCTCAAGCTTTTAAATCAGTACATGAACAAAATCTTAAGAATGCCAGCTCTTGGTCGTCACTTGCATCAGCCAGTTCTCCACAAAATACCCCAACTTCGAACAAAACTAAACCTGCAATGGACTCATTTCAACAGTTTAGAAATAAAGCCAAAGAAAAAGCTGATCGATTGAAATTGTTGGAAGCTGCTGAAAAAGAACAAAAGAGACAAAAAGAAGCTGCCGAAAAAGAACAACAACGAAAACAAGTCAAAACATCTATTTCCAATATAAGTTTAACCGGTAATGGAAATAGCAACTTAGCAAACAATTCCGTGCATCATCAATCTGCATCAGCATCACTTACACCATCATCCCATATACTCAGCTCAAACATAGCAGTTCATATGCAGGCAACTCAAATAGACGCAGTGGAAAGTGGAAGGTATAATAATCAGAATACAATTAAGAACATAAATTTAACCAAATATATTGTTATTTTAGAAAAAGTGTACATGATTCATCACAGCCACAAATTTCTCGTGTAGACGACTTAAAGGCTTCGCCTCAAGGCTGCGTTTCACCTGCCGGTTCAACACAACAATCGCCACAGGATCGCGCAGCGGTTAAGCGAGCGGAATTAAGACGAATGGAACAAGAAAGAAGAAGACGAGAAGCGGTGAGTGTTAATTTATATAAAAAGTTGGTCATATGAAGTGGACCGACTTATTTAACAAAAAATAACAATAATGCATTTTTTACTGTACAAGTTAAAATCATTTAACTTGGTTAAAAGAGATTTGATTACATCATTTTTTGGAGATTATATTGTGTAAGTGTTAAACCTTAACTTAAATGGCGTAATGCGTCTTGCTGATTAATATAAACCTTATACTTCAAGTAGCCCTAAAGGTTGCCAGTTAATATCAATTTTAAATATTTAGCAAAGATAACCAAGGAATAATCATATCAATATATCGACTGTGCCACAAGCTGTATTTGATAATGCGCCATTTTATTGAAACCAGAAAAGCAACATAATATTTTCACGAATAATCGGCATCAAAATATCGTTAATGACAGCCCGAAAATGCACCTGATTGACACTTGTTGCTTTACCAATTACGTCTTCCAAGTAGTACAGTGCGATGATCATATAACCACAAACTTCGCACCGCATGTTGGTAGTAAAAAGATGCTTTTTCAATAATTGGAGGTCTTTCCATAGCGTAGAATTGACAGTATTGCTGCTTGCTTACGGTTCCGATAACATGAAATGCGCCTTACCATTTAAAATGATTGTTTGTCAAAAATACTCTTTTGCTTTAATCGTTTGTATGGCAAAAGATAAATTTTCCAAGCGACGAGGCTTATCGGTTAGTAACAGTTGCTGGTTATTTTGTTAATTTGCTTTTTACTGGACGCCTGAGATTAGCGATAGTACCCGAAGACAAAAATCTATTTTACAAGCGCCTTTATACCTTTATATCTGTAATGTTTTTATTCTTCTTCGTATAGGCTGCAAAATGGTGTTTATTTCATTCAACGTTGACCTTCTCCATGTTGTTTTTGGACGGCCTCTCCCTCTATTACCTTGCGGGTTGTATACCAGCGCCTGTTGACAAATTTCGATGGGAGCCTTTCGAAGTGTATGGCTGATCCATCCAAAATTTTTTTCACAAATTTCAAGGTTGACATCTCTAACATTTGTTCTGGTCCAAAGGTCTTCATTTGATATTCTGTTTGGCCAGAAAATTCGTAAAATTCTGCGCAGACAGCGGTTAACAAATACTCTAAGCTTGGTTTGTATGTTTTCTGTAACAAACCATGTTTCGCAAGCATACAGGAGAACTGAAAGAACGCATGATTTAAAGATTTTTATTTTAGTTCCTACACTATAAATATTGGAGCTCCACACCTTACGAAGCCTTGTAAAAGCACCAAGGGCTTTCTTTATTCTACTTATCACATTTTGCGGTACAGCGCAGACACAATACTCCCTTGATACTGGACTCATTTACGCGCTCAATGGTCTCCATTTCCAACTTCAAATGTTCGTTAATTCGGTTGTTTATTCGAACTTCTTTTTTTTTCTGTGCATTGATTTCATTGATTTCTCGCATTTGTCGTCAGCATAGTCCAAACACTAGCCTAGTTTTCGGTGACAGTGGGTTCCATACAATAGCTCGTTCCTTTCCTTTATTTGCACTCTTGGCCACTGCGTCAAGCACAACTAGAAACAGCAATAGGAAAAGGACGCATCCTTGATGTACGGCAGAAATTGTACAAAAGGGCTCCGACAGTTTGTGTAAAACTGAGCACTTAAATTGATCGTAGCTTTTTGCAATTACAGAGACTATTTTAGCCGGGACACCAATATTTTTCAACTCTGCCCATATGCAATTTCGATTTAACGAATCAAACGCGTTTTCAAAATCGATGATAAGCAGATAAAGGGGAGATCGCATGTCTATAGATTGTTCTATGATAATTCTAAGACTGTTAATATGATCAACACAGGATATTCCGCTTCTGAAAACCGCTTGCTCTGGTCGTAGTAGTACTTCAACAACTTTTATCATTCTTTCTAGAATAACTTTAATAAATATTTTCATCACAGAACTTAAAATCGTAATGCCGCGCCAGTTGTTACAGTCACTTAGGTCTCCTTTCTTGGGTAGTTTAATTACAATGCCATGCATTCAGTCAGATGGATAAGTTCCTGTTTCCCAAATGGTTTTGAAGAGTGGGTATAAGATATCCGTTGTTAGTTCCAAATCAACTTTCAGCGCTTCGGCCGGAATATTGTCAAAACCTGCAGTTTTTCCGTTTTTCAGCAATTTTATTGCATTGGTTATTTCTCTTTTTGAGGGATGATCAACCCTAATCGGTAACTCATTTACGTTTCTTGCGTTTGCGTTATCACGATACCTTCGCGTTCTAGGTTTGATATTTGAATAAAATGTTAACGCCATCGGTTTAGCTGATCATTTACGTTTGTCAGTAGCTCACCAAAGAGATTCTTGACAGGAAGGGTTCTTTTGGCGCTCTCGCCTGTTAATTTCTTTGTTATATCAAAGAGATTCTTCATATTATTTGATGCCGCTGCTTTTTCCGCTTTATTTGCCATTTTGTTAGAGATTATTTCTTATCGTTCCGAATTGCCCTTTTGACACGTTTGTTCAGATGTGTGTATTCCGTTTGCGCTCTCTTTCGATCATTAGGCTTTTTCATGGCATTTATCTCATTTTTGAGCTTTACTCGTTGTTCTATCATTATCCACGTTTGTGCTGAGATGAAATCGTCTTTGGTATTATTTGACGCTCTATCTAAGGTTTCCATACAGGTTTCATTAATAGCCATTTTTATTTTGTTCCAGCAGAGTTGGGGATTTATGTTGTCAGTAGGAGCAGGAAGTTTTTCAGAGATATAACTTGAAAAATTTTGCTTTATATTTGGTGTTTTCAATTTAAAGACCTTGTATTTAATTCTGCTACAATTACAGTTAATATCGGCACCTCGTTTATTTCTTACATCGATTAAACAGCTACTCCATTTTGCCGTAACACAAATATGGTCTATTTGATTTTGTGTTCTCATATCAGGTGATACCCACGTTACTTTATGTATTGTTTTATGTGGGAAAAGCGTGCCTCCAATTTTGAGTTCGTTTATACCACATAGCTCTACAAGGCGTTCGCCATTGTCATTCATGTCATCAAGGCCATGTTTCCCAATGACGAGCTCTAAATTTTCATTTACTTCTCCGATTTTAGCATTAAGGTCGTCTATCACGACTTTAAAACCTTTCTTCGGTGCTTTAGCAATTGCAGCGCTTAGCTTGTCATAAAAAGCATCTTTATCATTTTCATTGGCATCTTCAGTAGACGCATAGCACTGAACAATCGATATATTTTAAACTTGTAGTCTATCACAAAATCGCGAAATTTAGCATTTTTAATATTCCTACACCGTATTGGTGTACATCATTTGGCATGCCTGACCAAAACATAACGTGACCTTTTGGGGTTCTAATTTGTCCACATGCGTTCCATCTAACTCCGCTCATGCCCATAAAGGCTAATTTGTAATTTTCAAGTATTTTTGCCGACTGGGCCATAGAGCGTTTTTACATTATAGGTTCCAAATCGTAATCCATTTTCATTGCGTTTTTTCGTCAAGTTTGGGTTCAGGTTTTCATTTCTTATAGACATTCTGGGAATCGGTTTATGCTTCAGGTACAATGAGTGATCGGCCCGTTGTACCCTAACCTGATGATGGGGCTGCCATCAGGTATGATTGGATAGTTAAAAGAAAAGTTTACGGAAGAAAATTTTGATTGTGTGCCTTCGGCTTTCGCATTTTTAGGCAGAGGACTTATTACACCGGTCCTTGCTCGGCGCGTCGTCGGTAATTTGTGGTAACAGCTTCGCCACCATTTTCGTAAAAATTCGCGAGGTTGTCTGCTTTGAACGGCTATCAAACACCAACTGAGCGACGGAGCTTGCTCAAAGTTGCCCACTGGTAGATCACAGCTGACGGCATCACTGTAGCATTTGGAGTAACTGCGCGGGAAATTCAAAAAGTCACTGACTTGTCAAACCGCCCTCGTATTACATCGCTCAATAAGTCGTACGACTGACACATAGATGGCGCTGCCATTGTCAAATCCATATGACGTTTATGAAATACCAACCTTCAAAAGACTATGTGTAAAACTTCATGACATTTATATTAGTCAGGAAAAAGTGATAGCCGTTTAAGTGAAGTTACTTTTGTTATTTTCAAAACAATGAATTGAAAACAATTTCGTGTGTTAATTTATCATTGCTTCTTGATGAAAAAAAATACTATACAAGCTCAGCAATGGCTTCTAAAGTGTTATCCGGACTCTGCCGGACTCCATCGAAAAGAACCATTTGTTATTGGTTTGTCAAATTTAAACGTGGTCGTACAGATACCGATGATGGTGAACGTTCTGGTCATCCAATTGAGCTGGTTACTCCAGAAAACATCAAAACAGTCCAGAAATTGGTTATATCTGATCGTAAATTTAAATTACGTGAGATAGCTGAGACCGTAAAGATATCAGAAGGCAATGTGTTTACAATTATGCATGAAAATTTGACCATGAGAATGCTCTTTTCAAAGTGGGTACCATATTTACTCACAGTCGATCAAAAATAAAAACGTGTTGTTGATTCAGAGCAGTATTTGGCTATGTTTACACGTAATAAATCAGATTTTTTGCGTCGATATGTGACAATGGATGAAATATGGATCTATCACTACACTCCGGAATCAAAACGATCATCATCTGAGTGGACTGCAACCGGTGAACCACGTCCGAAGCGTCCAAAAGCACAACAGTCAGCTGGGAAGATTATAGGCTTCACTATTTTCGGATGCACATGGTATAATCTTCATTGACTACCTCGGAAAGGGAAAAACCATCAATGGTAACTACTACACGGCATTACTGGATCGTTTAAAAGCAGAAATTGTGAAAAAACGACAGTATATGGCAAAGAAAAAAATTTTGTTTCACCAAGACAATGCACCATGCCACAAGTCAATAAAAACTATGGCAAAATTGCACGAATTACACTTCGAATTGTTTCCTCATCCACCGTATAGTCCAAATTTATCTCAAATGAAGAAGTATTTGCTGAAACTGAA